AGGGAGCGAGGAGAGGACTACATAGACAGCGGAGAAGGCGAGCGATAAAAGAAAAGGAAAGCAGTTCCCGTCTCTAAAAAGAGCGAAGGGCCCCGCCGACGTCCGACAAGTAGCGCAAAAGGTGCTGCTTCGTAGTGGCGAAGCTTCGCGATGCGGAGAAGGACCGTCGCGTACGCAGAACACAGTGGGAGGGAAGGAGAGGGCGGAGGGAAGGAAGGACGTCGAGGCCCTGTTGTGACGCAGGTTCAGCTTCGCCGCGATATGTATCCCCCCAGACCTGTGCCGGAGCCCATTCTCCGCTATCTGCCCTCCCTCCCCCTCCTCTTGCCCCCGCCCTCCCACCTCTCGTCCTTCGTACCTGAGCGCGGCCCTGGTCGGGCCCTCTTCTCCCTCTTCACCCGTCGCGTCGTGCGCCGACGATTCCTGTCCTCGGCGCCCTCCTTCCACATTCCTGTGTTCGAAGCCGCCGCGTCGCGCCGGTGAAGACGCTCGACCGACCGGGGAGGTGGAATACGAGAGGCCCTATACAAATCACCGGGCTACCGTCTTACCCGGACTCCGATCTCTTTCTTTCTACGTCTCCTTTCCGTCCGCTTTACTCCCTCTATTCCAGGACCGAGCCCTCTCTCTTTTCTCCAGCGCTCGTTATTCTTCTCCGTCTTATGGCAGTCTATTATCTCTCTCATTTATCGCATTCTCTCTCTCTTTCGCTCTCTCTCTCTCTCCCCCCTCTCTCTCTCTCTCTCTCTCTCTCCCTCTCTCGCTGGTACTTTTTTGGTCTTGGTATTCTCCCTCGTCCTCGCTCTCCGTCCTTTACCAGGCGGCTGTGCGCGTAATATCGACCCCTCTCTTTCTCGCTCACCTACGTCCCGCATACTCAAGCTCTCGTTGCTGGCAGCTACTGTGCACTGACATTCGCGAAATCTTTTCTATAAATTACCATTAGTACATCATGACAATTTGGTTATTTAGACTCGTGTTAATAGTTGTACCCTGAAGCTTGTCTCATGTGAGATACTTCGATTTTTCTTCAGAATTAGATCCAAACTTTTCAGTTCAGTTATATGATAAATGTGACATTTTTAGGTCTGTAATCACGATTCAACCAAAAAATTCTCATTTAACTCTAGCATTGTTTTACAGTCCGTACTTGAAACTAGTCTCACCTAAGATACTCAGATCTGAATTTCAAGTTATATCAGAATTCTTCATTTGAGTCATACGATGTTCGTGACATATTTCTAAGTACAATTTAACTGAGAAACTCACTTCTAAATTCAGATCTGAGTACCTCACTTGAGACAAGTTCCAAGAAGTGACTATCAATATGAACCTAAATTTGTACTTGAGCGTCTCAATTAAGACGAGTTTCAAGTAATAACTATTAATACGCACCGTAAAGCATGCGTCTCCTGTTTTTTTTTCACTCTACACCTTGCATCAACTTGCCCTAATTATTTTCTCTTCTTTCTTCCATCGAATCTTAATGATATGTGTATCTGTTTCTTTCAATAAGTTCAATAAGTGTACACTAATTCTGTGGAAAAAAGGTCTGAAAGAACAGACCTACTGATTCGTAGAAGACAAGATTTTACGAGAGCTCGATCGCGAAGCATCTCAAAATACTTGGACAGAGATTTCGTAGATGCAGTTACAGTGCAGATGGATTATTTCGAGCGTTAAATTATAATCATAGAAATCGCTTCAAACAGAGCCTGATACTGTAATGAAGACGAACGACGGTGTTCGTTCCCTTCATCTGCTTATAAATATGTAAATTTCATTTCAGGCAGGGAGGCGGTGACTTTTAGTCCGTTTCAATTGGAAGTAGATTAAGTGACTTCCCGGGCGCATTCACGCTAGAAAAACGTGTTCCATGATTATTAGACAGCCGTGACGGCGCGCTCACATCATAGACGACCTTGAGCTCACGCCTTGGCGATGGTAAAGGGCTACGATGTCGAAAATCGAAAGTCAAAGTCTCTGCCTTTCTACTAAAGCTACCACATATAGACGAATACATGCCGCATTCAAGTAAATATTTTTTGTCTCAAGTATTGCATGATTTTATATATCCGCAAATCGATATGTCATCAATATTCAAGTTCGTCATAAGCATCGAATTTATTTTAAGGCTTCTGGCCTCTCGCATTGTCTATCTCTTTTTAATAACGTCAGAAGCGAGAAAATGCATGCTAAAAATTCTTGCAAAATACGTTAAAATAAAAATATATATCCATAAAGTAACACTTGCAATCGATTAAACAAATTTGTAAGATATTCCGTGCGCTCCCCTTTTACTCTAACAATCAAATTACAATAATTTATTGTAAATTAATCTGAATGCGAAGAAACAGATTAATTGAAGATGAATTGTATGTCACGTTAATTTACGACAAATTATTGATTGTCAGAGCAAAAGGGAAGTGCACGAAATATTTTACAAATTTGTTTAATCGATTGCAAGTGTTACTTTATGGATATACATTTTTAATATATCCATAATTTATTGTAAATTAATCTGAATGCGAAGAAATAGGTTAAGAAGATGAATTGTACGTCACGTTAATTTACGACAATTATTGATTGTCAGAGCAAAAGGGAAGTGCACGGAATATCTTACAAATTTCTTTAATCGATTGCAAATGTTACTTTATGGATATATATTTTTATTCCAACGTATTTCGCAAGAATTTTTAACATGAATTTTCTCGCTTCTGACGTCATTAAAAAGAGATAGACAATGCGAGGGGCCTTAAGTACATTCTGAATCCTAGTAACTTTAACATTCCAATCAAGAACATTAAATTGAAACAAACACTCGGTTTGCTCACCGCATTAAGTTAAACTAATCTTTTCTTCGATACAATTTTACAATATTCTTATAAAAAAAATAAATTCTTTTTTTTACATCTAATAATGAACCTCTCTCTCAAATTTGTTATATGTATATTTTAAAACTATTATCAAGAACATATTGTTTGGCGAAGATAACTTTACTTAACATTTTATCGCTCAGAAATCTATTAATAAGCTTTTTCAAAAATCATGATTGTATAAAATTTAGAAGTGAATATTTAAATTTATTTTGTACAATCAATAGAATTTTAACGGGCGAATTTTAGCTTATTAATAGGCTTTCTAAAAATTTTCGTGGCTACACGAAATTGTAAGTAGATATTTAAGTTCATTTCGCGCAATCCATAGAATAATTTAATTGTAACATTTCTCCTACCGACGACGCTGGTCGGTAAAGTGTTAAAAGAAGGAAAGTAAGCTGAATAATTGCTTTTCTTAGCAATAGAATGATATCTGTTCTGCTTCCAAGCTATTAATAACAAATATGCACACGGTACAAAATGTATTAATAAGCGGTCTCGCGCCGTGATTTCGCCGTCAGCGAGGATGATTGGAAGCAACGAGAGGAAAGTGAGCCGAAGTGCGTCGTACGCAGAATAAAGGAGGAACGAAGCAGCCGGCCGCGGACGCGACGGAAGGAGGAGATTAAAGCTCGTTAAAAGAGGCGGAGGGAAAAAGCGTCGAGATCGCGAGCGGAGAAAAGTCGCGACGCGTGTGCGCGCGGGGCGCGAGTCGTCTCTCTTTTTCTACTTGTTCGCCGGGCGCATTTTTTCCTGTCGTGCCGGGGCTCGCGCGTCTCAAAACCCGCCACGGCTCAACCGAGCCCAGTGATGGGGCTCCGCTGGAATGTAGAAGGGACCCGGTTGGGATGGGGTCCCGTGGGGCCCTTCGAGGGCCCGGGAAGACTTCTCGCCCGTGGTGGGGGCCACCAGTTGGACCGGCTTGTCGCGATCGGTGGTGTGTGCCAGCCGAGGGTAGCGCGATGAACGTGAGCCGTGCGGTATGCAGAAAGACTTGACGATTAGTCAAGAGGCCCGGACGTCTCGCTAGCTTAATGTTTACGTGATTTCTCGCCACTCCCTCGCCCGTCGGAGGCAGCCGAATTCGAGACACGCCGGTGGCGTCGTGACGCCCGTTTTTCCAAGGTGACAGACACCGAGAAGGTTACGACCTTCGCGTTGCATCTTCGCCCGGCTGAGACCAAAAGAGACTGGCGCGGGACTGCCGAGGGACGTTCTGCACTCTGCGATTTTTCATTCTTTATCGCAAACTGGGAAGTAACTCGCGAAATTTTGGAATACCCGGCTGGACTTTCACGGTTATCATGACATGGGAGAATCGATGGTGGAAACTTTGCAGTTGTTTTAATTATATTTATGAGGCAAATATACTCTCTTGAATAATCGTTATACGATTAAAGCAACTGCAAAGTTATATAAAAGTAATAAAAGTATATATATAAAAGAGAGACGACTTAATTGAGAGTCAATTAAACAATCTTCAATTGAATTGGCTCATATTAATTGCAAATTTAAAAAACGACAATTAAATAAAAGAAAGTACAATAATTAATTAATTAATTGCAATCCTGGATTCAACAAAGATAAATATATTTTCATTATTCAAAAATAATTTTCATGCATAGAAAACACGAAATATTGAATTAAGAATATGATGTTTTTGAATGTCGAACAAATCATCATTATCATCAAAATAATCATATTTCTTGTGAGACTATTATGATATTGAAATGTAAATTCTGTGTTATATCGGTGTAGCAAGAAATTCACTCAGAATTACTCTCAGATTTTTATATTGAATTTTACACGATGCATTATTTTGAGAGAATTTTGATTTTTTCATATTTCTATTTCATAATTCTGCGTATTAAATATGAGCAACGTACGAACTATTCATACGGTACGCAACTGTTATAAATCAACTAGTAAAGTTGTTGCCGAGTTTACGTACACCTGATTATCTGGTTATGAATCGGTATACCTGACCTTGGATCATCTATTCCCGAAGTATACTCTAGATACTATCTTACTATTATCTTGTTGTCATAAAAGAACGTTCCGTGACGTTCGTCAGACGACTCGGACGTTGCACACGCGAATATGAGAAAAGCATTTACTCACCGGACAATATTGCCAGGCCGAAGAGTTCGCAATCTCGCATGCCCTGTTGGTTGAGAAGCATGCATGTCTGCGTGTAAACCTCCTTCACTCTCGACTTTGCCTGAAAAGTAGTAAAGCGAATTGATCAGCACCAGATTTTTAAAATGTTACACAAAACAAAAAGAACGTTCTTGTTTCGAAAATATCTCTACTTTTACACATAAATCTTAAAATGAAGTTACATAGCGCTGCACGAAGGTAAGTTACTTGCATCAATACATTTTATATGATTCAATCAGAGAGTTGTAAAAGTGTCCTAATTTAATAATTGATTTGGACAAATATATTTTAATTCATCTAATTGACGATTGACTTGAGTAAAATCAATCGAAGAATCTTTAAGTGACAATTGATTTCAACGAATTCAAATAAAGATCGTTCAATTGACGATTGATACGAGCCAAGCAAATCAAAGATGGTTCAATTCACAATTGAATTTAACAAAATTTAATTAAAAACTGTCTAATTGACGATTGATATGAGCAAATTCAATTGATTTAATTCAAGAGCATTGAATTACTCAAGATTATAATTGTTTTTGTGGATCATATTTATATCTGGAGTATCGTGAAAGATACCGTTGATTGAGAAGCGTCAAGAAGTTGAGGAGGGGAGGACATTGATTATATCAATCGTCATTATAATTTAATCTTCGATTAAATCGATTGAATTTGCTCATATTAAATATCAATGAAACATCCTTTAATTAAATTTGCTAACTAACAGTAAGAATTGAAGAGGCAAATAAGGAGTACAGCACGGATGTCTTAGCGCTATTAAATACTAATATTCCTTTTTATATAATATTAATATGATAGTGGGAGGATAATTATGTCCAGCATATCAAACGCACGTATCGAAATTCTTACTGTTAGTTATTCTAAAAAGGAGCTTTCTATAATTTCTGTTTAAATTTGCTAAGTTCAATTACTAATTAAACAATCTTTAATTCTCTTCGCCCGTATTAGTTGTCAGTTGAACGGTCTTTAATCGAATTCGTTGAAATCAGTAAAACGATCTTCAATTAAATTTATTGAAATCAAATGTCAATTAAACAATTGAATTGACTCATATTAATTGCAAATTAAAAAACGACAATTAAATAAAAGAAAGTATAAAAATTAATTAATTAATTGCAATCCTAGGTTCAACAAAAAAAAATATATTTTTATTATTCAAAAATAATTTTCATGCATAGAAAGCACGAAATATTGGATTGAGAATATGTTTTTGAATGTCGAAAAAATTATCATTAACATCAAAATAATCATATTACACTTCTTATAAGACTATTATGATATTGAAATAAAATTATATATAACATTCTTAAAATTCAACATTTTAAAACTCTCCTAACAAAATTATATATCGTTGCTACAACGATTGTTAATTTGAACATATCAGTTTTAAGTGGATACTAATTTCTTTTCTGTGCAATTATTTTTACAATTAGTTTCAAGATGATTTGAATGACAAATAAAAGTTGCAGAGTATCAAAAAATTGCAATTTTCTAAGTAGCTTCTTTGCTATATATATTTCGCTGAGAGTACGTAAGGGAACACGCGCGTGCCTCCGTTATTTTCGGGAAAGTCACGACAGTAGGAAGAAAGGAAGCAAGGAAGGAAGGAAGAAAGGAAAGAGGGTGGGCACAGAAGAAGGGAAGATTGAAAGGAAGGTAGGAAAGGAGGCAAGGAGCAAAGACCGATTTGAATATCCGTGGGCTGTGGGTGTTCGCTCTCTGGCTCACGCTTTTTTATTTTCTCTCTTTTCCGCTCGCCGTTCACTGCTCGCCGCACCCTGCTATGGGTGGAAAGGCGGAAAGGGAACAATGGCAGCGGCCGCGAACGAGCAAGCTTTTCCATAATTATACGGTGCTTACGACGCGATTATCGTGCCCCAATACCGCCATCATACCGATCGCTTTTCGCAACCGCGGTCGTGCCGCGAGAATTGGTTAAATTTCGTTTCGAGCCACGACAATTAAAATTAACCAAGCAAATAGTATTGAAAAAAAACATTTATATCAATTTTAATTCGATCAATTGTGCTTAATTTACTTTTATCCTGAATTAAATTTATTTCTAAGGTTACTTGTAAAACGACTTATAATCCCAATCAAGATAACGCTTTTCCTGCAATTATTCTGCTGGAAGATACGCATATTCTGAAATCATTTAACGAAAACAGAACAGCGGTAAAAAATAAATTATTATATTGGCAAAAGCGAAAAAAAACTCACTAGACAACACTGAAATCGACATTGGTCCAAGATATAATAGTTTTAAAGTACTTCCCCTTGTAATTATTTGAATATGATATTTTATATCGTATACCAGATAAATTTACTATTTCTTTAGTAATTTATACTACAAGTTTACAATATAATACAGCTTTACAAAAAAAAAAACAATGTACAAAGAAATATAATTTTGACGTTATTTTCTGACTGCAATATTTTCTCCATGTAGAGAACCACTATTGTTTCATCAAGCGCTGAGCTATTATGATAGTTTTCGCTTGTATCATTACCATCAGAATAGTCTAGTGTGTTCTCATCGCAACGAAATGCTGTACTATTAACACACATCTCATTTGTTTTTCGCTCACTTTCATTTCTTGGTGTTCACGGAATTTCATATTATCAAATGCCTTATTTCCTCCAATTTTTTCCTCGCTCTATGTTTTTCTACACGTTCACTCATTGTTCACGCGATTTCAGGCTCCTTTTTAACAATATAAATAGACATGTTTGAATTTACTTACGATAGACATTATAATACGTGCATATTACAAAATTGAATTAGCATTACTGATACTATGTCTTGGGAAAGATCGGCTCGCATATTGTATAGTAAACTGCTTCAGCCATGGAATAATAAGATTCTATCAAGTTCTCGTTCAGTTCCTACGCAGTATTTTTACAACTAACGAGAATGCATTAATAGGCGATAACTGGGCGGGTATCTACGCAAATTGCGTGCGTTTCTACTGAGGTAGCTAGACGCGTGTAAAGATCGAAGAGCGGAAAGAAGTCGGCTCGTATCGGACTGCGACGCGGGCTCATGGAGGCAGAACGAGGAATTTCCACGCAGGTCGGGAATCCGCAGAATTCGTCGCCACAAACGAGTCTCGCTACAATTAGGAAGATGGTATCGTGTGAGAAGACACGCTACGTTGCCGGTCTAATGACGACGGGGTCGAATCGACCGAACCTTGGCATTGACGCCTCCGTCTTCGCGTACGTGAAAGCCATCGTAACGATTTCATCGCGTGCTGTGCTCGAATGAAGGAACAAATTCCTGATTGGATATTTTGCTGTGCTCGAATGAAGGAACAAATTCCTGATTGGATATTTTGCTGTGCTCGAATGAAGGAACAAATTCCTAATTATTTTAGAATTCTACAGTGTGTTGAAATGCTCTCTCTCTCTCTCTCTCTCTCTCTCTCTCTCTCTCTCTCTCTCTCTCTCTCTCT